CTTCAGGATCTCTGATCACCTCCAGGATGTCGTCGTTGGTGGTCTCGGAGAAGCCTGGAACTGTTACAGTCTGCGCAGCTTCTCTAGCAAGGTCCACTGCTACTGCAACATTCTGAACCTCACCAGTCACAGATTGACTCCTCCTCTCACCTGGTATTCCATGCAACACATGTCTCCATGCGTGACGAATTGTAGCAATAGACAGCTGATCCCATGACTCCACCAAGAAGTCCACAGCTTTCTTGATGTTAAATACTCTCCAGAATTGTTTGAACAGTATTTTTTGCTGTGCCAACTGTTGGTCCTCATCTTCTTCGCTCTTGCTATCGGTGGTGGTGTCACTCAGGTTACGCAACTCTTCCCTGGTGTTGGTGTAGTCGTTCAGGAGCTGGAATTTTTTTGTTGAGAATGCAGCTTTTACATTACAGATTAACTCTTACTTTTATCCTCTTCGCCACTGATCGGCTTGTTAGCCGCTTGGGCGATCGGTCACGACTCTTTTCCTTTATATTCTTCACCAAAAGGTCGGCTCGCTAGCCGCCCGGGCGATCGGTCACGTCTCTGTCACGCACTGTTGGCAAATACTGGGCATGCACCGGCTCCTGAATGTACCTGAACCCGCTCCAGTGTTGGTCAAGTCTTCTCTTGAAAGAGCTCACACTCGGTGCCGTCACAACACTCTCTGGTAGATTGTTCCAAGAGTTTACAACCCTCACTCCGAAAAAGTTTGCCCTCACGGTTTTCCGGACTTGCGGCTTCTTCAATCTTGAGCTGTGACCCCTTGTGGGGCGAGCGTCCGCCAGCTCCAAGTAAGGACACTCAACTGAGTAGTGCCCCCTGAGATGCTTATAAACCTCAACTAGGTCCCCCCTTGCCCGTCTGTAGTATAAGCTAGGCAAGTTCAGGCGCTCCAATCTCGCAGGGTAGCTGAGATGCCGAAGTGCAGGCACCAGCTTGGTGGCCCTCCTTTGAACATTTTCAACCAACTGACAGTCCCTAGCATATCTCGGGGACCAGATGGGGTGACAGTACTCCAGATGGGGAAGCACTTCACTCCTGAAGATCGTCACGAGGGACGGACCGTCTAGATATCTGAACGACCTTCTTATAAGACCCAATAATTTATTTGCCTGATTTACCTTCTTCTCACAATGGCCCGAGAACTTCAGCTCATTGTCAACATACACACCTAGGTCCTTCTCACACACAGTCTCAACTAGTACATTTTCTTCATCCCGTTGGGACATATGGTACGCCTCCTTACCGTTGGTACGCCCCAGGTGCATCCTCTTACACTTCGTGACATTGAATCTCAGCAGCCATTCCTTCGACCATTCCTGGAGCCCACAGAGGTCCTTCTGCAGCTCTTCACAGTCCGCTTGGTTCTTAATTTCCCGAAATAACTTGGCGTCATCGGCAAACATTTGTATGGAGGAGTGTACAACGTCAGGCATATCATTTATGAAACAAACAAACAACAGCGGGCCCAATACACTACCCTGCGGTACCCCACTTGTTACAGGTACAGATGACGATTTCGTGCCATTAATCACCACACATTGCTTGCGGTCATGTAGAAAGTCTTCTATCCACGCTAGAAGACTCTTGGTCCATGGGCTGTAATATAGACGTAGTGTTGGGAGGAAGGAAGACCACTTTTACGTTGGGGTGACGATCTAACAGTAGGGGCGAGTGTCCTGGTGCGTTGTCCAGCAGCAACAAAATATTGAATGGCACATTCTGTCGCTCACAGAATTTCTTTACATCGGGAACAAAACAGTCATCAACCAGGAGAGGGACAGTGTAGAGAACATCCACGCCTTATGTGCGGTCAGCAGTGGACATTTAGCTTGGTCATGTCTATGGTTTTGTAGGCGTGCGGCTTGCGTGCTGTGTGGATCACCGATAACTTGAGCTTACAGGTACTGGAGGCATTGGTTATAAACAGGACGGTGATGCGTTCCTTCTGCATCTTCCAGCCCCGAATCCTGCTGGCATTCTTTACAACGAAGGACTTGGAAGGTAGCTTTTTCCAGAAAAGACCAGATTCGTCCATGTTAAACACCTGGTCGTCACTGTACTGTCCTTCCTCCATAATCTCACGTAAAAACGGAGGAAATTCCCTAGCCGCAGCACGGTCAGCACTCGCTTCTTCACCACCAATGTTTATATTGGTGATCTTGTTCCGGATCTTAAACCTCTGTAACCACCCAGAGGAAGCATTAAAGGGTTTGGGCTCTGTAGTTCCCATCTTTCGTGCCACTGCGATGTACAGTTCACGTGCGTAGTCCTTAACAGAGCGCGTGTCGACCGCCATGTTCCGTCGCGCCTGACGCACCAAGTACCTCACAAGTAATTTTTCTGTCTTGAGAAGCACCTGGTTGTGAAAATACTTGATCATAGAAGCACCTGTAGACTTTGTGATCTTCATGTGCTCCTTTATCTTGGCTGCATCCTTCTTTATTGTTCGAATCGTAGATTCATTCACACCATGCTGGCGCGCCAAATCAACCTGCCTTGTTCCTTTCTCCAACTCTTGGATGATGGTATACTTCACCTCGTAGCTTAAGGAACGTCGTGTCTTCTTTGGCTTAGTGCCGCTGGGTCCAGGTAAGGAAAGGTTTCTCTCTGGGGGTGGTGGTCCGGCGGAAGCCATTTTACGGAACAATGGATGCGCGTTTACACGGTGTGGCCTTGAGGGATGAAACTGCCGCGGCTAGGTCAAGCGTCGTCTTTCCTCCCTCCCTCCCTCCCCCGGGTGGACACGTCATAATACTTTAAGCCAATTACAGCTAACAGCAGAGGGGGTAGGGATGCATGGTCAATCACAGTCCGATACGTCATATGACGTCAGTGATAACGCAACAAAGACACACACTGCGCAACCTTACCGCGCCGCTTGCCCAAGCGGAGGGAGGAGGAGGGAGAGGCGAGGAGCACAGGCAGGCAGGCGGGCGGGTGGCGGGTGGGGCGAATCTAAAAATAGCGTCGGGCCGGACACTCTCCGCGTAATGGGGTTCACGTACCGCGTAATGTGAGCACGTTAGGTTCTGGCAAGGCACCGCGTAAGCGTGGAAACGCGGAATGCGGGACCGCGTAAAGTGAGGGTTAACTGTACAATAATTCATTCTCTCACTCTTTACCACCAACAACTTAAGAGTTTTTGCTGGTTTAGTTGTGTTTACACACTTTAGGACACTTTTACAGTAAACCTGATTTTGATTTAATAATTTTTAATATTTTAACTAAAAGTTAGCAGTGATTAATGTAACCAAAAGTGTTTGGATTATACAGTATATAAGATGCACGGAGGCAGCAGCAGTCAAGTCTGTTGCTTTTTACATATACAGTACAGTACTGTAATTACATCATCAACAACAACAAAAATTTTATTGCCATTTTCCACACCTGCATGGGTTGGCTGTATGGTTACAAATCATTTACTGTACTGTACTGTACAGTATTATGATAATGCAGTTGTTAATTTTTTTTGGAGTCCACATGTTTCTTTTCCAAGATTATATGCATTTTTTTCTATATTTCATTATACTGTACAGTACATACTGTACACTGTACAGTAATTATGAGGGTACATTACCCAAAACCAGTTTTAAGGACATTTCTTTTGCGTGGAATGAATTCAATCTCAAGCCGCTATATAAAAATTGGATTTTACTGTACAGTAGTAGAGTAACTACCAGGGAAAATATTTCTAAATGCATAAATTAATGCTCAGTTATTGCAGTTAATACTGTTATTTGTACAGGATAATGCTGCCATGAGGTAACTTCTATATAAACTGAACATATGATATGTCTTATGCAACTGCTTATGAAAGTACAGTATACAGTAAATCTTGCATCATTTTCTTTTACAAAACTGCTGGATATTAAAAATTGCTGTTGTGATGAGCTCACTAATCAGAGTTGTCTAATATTAACATTACATAAAATAAGAAGCTAACCAAAGGCATACTAAATGGAGGATGCTTTACTGTACTGTATACTACAGTACAGTATACTGTATGTGACAAGCTTTGTTATGTATTAATACTATAAAAAACGTAGGCTAAAAAGTGATTATTTGGCTAGTGAAAATTTAACAATTCATTTAAGTTGCTATGCTTTGCATTTGTAAAATTATATTTGGAATTAAACAGTCATGGAAAAAACTTCTATTTCACATAAAATACAATATTAAGAGAGCCAGTAAAATCTAATGATTATATTAAAAATAACATCTGATGTAAGTTATTAAGATTAAACACCATCAAAACCAATATATAACATACATAAATGAGGTTAATTGGTTTGAGCAAAGGACGACATTTCATGTCTGTATGGAATGACATTTGATGTCAATAAATACTGTACTTGTATTGACATTAGGTGCTAATAAAGACTATTTTATATGTGGTCCCAATAAATATAAAAAAATTTGGCCATTGGAAATTCTTCATATTAAAGGATAACATCCAGTGCCAATATTGTGTAGAAAAAAGTGTTGTTGTATAAAGGACAACACAAAGTGCTAATAATGACTCATAGTTGGACTCAACAATGGGTAACATTTAATATTCATGAATATTTACATTTTAACAAATGAGATACTATGTTTATTGCTCATTAGTCAACAAAATAAGTTTCATTACTAGTTTAGAAAAAAAATACTGTGCAGACATTTGTTATTTATACAAGTCACCACTAAATGCTGAAAAAGATAAGCACTCATTGCCATTACCCGGTAAGTAAAATTTAAAACTTAGTGCACTGAAGGTTCATTATCAGTACAGGGTGTTTATTGTTTTCATGCTGTTTTGGAGTAGAAAGTGCATATGGAATGCACCTTAACCTCCAGGTGGTCAATTTGGTTTAAGGTTCATACTGTACAGTATTCATGGTATTCTTATAAGTGTGTTTAAAGCCATGGGAGCCATAATTACTAAATTTTATTTATTTTTTATTTTATTATTTTTTGGGGGGAATATTAAAACTTGTAAGTATAGTTACATGTATTACAAATAAGCTGACAGGGTTTCATTTTGAAGTCCTTGGTGATGGTAGAGATATTTTTTAACATGATACCTGTATATAAATTGACATTTTGCACTAATAACATTTGACACACATCAGGAATGGATAGTATTTATTGTTAGTACTAAATGAGAACATCGTCTGGCTCAAATATAGGTACAGTACTGTAGACATAATTAAAAAAAAAAAAAATTCTTCTTCCAAAAATAGATATACAGTACAGTCTTGTATTCATGCAGACTAATGGAAACAAAAGAATAAATCATTTATCTGGTTTGGTTTTGCCATGGTGAAGCCTGTGTGTTTACTGAGGTGCAGTTAGGAGTCCTGGGGTGGTGTAGGGGGACGTAGAGGCCTGTGGGACACAGCCTATAAATGCATCACTTAGTGTGCGATTTTAAAAATTGACACCCAAATGTTAGTAGTCCGCTGATTTAATGCAACCTTATTTTACTCTACTGACTTTTACATGTACTGTATAGAGTTAAAGGATGATTTTTTGTGATAGCACACTTATAATTGTTGAACAATACCTCAAGTTGATTCTCATAAATATTAGGATGTGTCTTTATGAAACCCTTTCAAGTCCTATCCTTATATACAGTTGTACAGTAGTATCTCAAACACTTGGGACCAGTGACCTATGCATGTACAAGATATGGGTTGATGTTTCCTGCCCTGTTTCAAATGTCCTGGAGTGGCCACGAGCCATTAATGATGCCATTTGTTACCTACAGTAATACTTCACTCTCAGAAATTTCACAGCTGCTGAGTTACCTTATAAACATCATGATGGAGCCATAAGAGTGATATTCTTGCATCTGGTAGACACATGTAAATGTAAACGTAAATGCATGGCGACTTGGGAAGAAAAAGAGATGCAATTTTAATGGATAGTAGTGATAGAGGGGAGAATGATAATGGAAGTTTACTTTTTGTGTATAAACAACCTTTCAGCACAGGGAGATGCCGGAAGGACGTAGTAGCCAAAACTACAGTATTGTACCACGAAGGAAACAAAGGGCCTTTAGTAGCTAACCAAGGCTAATTATGGGTATTATATTTTGATGTTTTAAGTCTTTTATCATTGTCCAATTAATTTATAAGATCAAGTATTTTTTCTTAAATTGAAAAAAAACCTTAGGTTAAGGAATGCAATAATAGACTGAGCTTAGGGCCGAAAGAGTTAAAGAATAGCTGAAAAGATAGGCGGATAAATCCCTTAAGTTCGTACTTATGAAAGTTGCTTTTGGTGTGAAAAAAGGGAAAATTTGAGTTAATAGGTAAAATATAAACTGTCGGTTTTGAGAAAAAAGAACAGTGTTAACAAAATGAAGAGATCAGTTGCTAGATTGAAAAGAGTTTAGATATCAATACAGTACAGTATAAGGAGAAACTTCACACTAAGGTGAGAAGAGGTTTAGTTTTCAGATGAAAAGTGTGATACCAAAGTTCAGGAAGATTTGATGCCAACTTCTAAAGAGGTTTAGTGCCATGGAGGAGATATCCCTGAATCTGGTACACATTATATATGGTGGACGTTGTAGACAGTGGCAGTTTTGGTTCATAAAGGCACACTGAAAATAAAAAAGAGAATATATTATATAACTTGTAGGTCCAGACATGGTAATACGGTAAAGAAATGTAGTTAGACAGTACATGTATAGTATAAGGATTAGATTTTGACACCCTTCTGTAGTACAGTACCCGCATCAGGGGAAGTTTCAGGGTTTGAACATTCTCCCCCTTATCCTAATGACCCGTGCATATGACCTCAAAATATCCCTGAAATTGGTCAGTTTTTCCAGGGGGTGCTAACACTGCCCTCTCCCAATCCTCCAGCTGTATGAGGCTGCTGTGCTCACCAGTTTACTGTCCATAAATGACACAATATATATGTGTATGATCATCCCCAAAATATGCCTCAGAAACGAAAGAGTCCCCCCCCCCCCTTTGAAAATCCTAGGACAGGCTTGTAAACTTGGCGGTTGTAGATGTTGTAATCTTTCTTAGTAAGGGAGGTTTTTGAGTCTAATCATTTTGGTAGCCATACTATATCAATTCTCGATCAATTGGCCATCTACTATGTACAGTAATAAGATTTAACCTTTATTATAATTATCTTTGTAACTCATTGTTTTATTAAGTAAAGTTCAGTATATACAAGAGACTACCAGCAGGTGGTGACCTTAAAGCCATTAACCATCATCAGTGTTTAGTTTTTCCATCAATATCATGTATGAAGTATTAGTACTGTACTGCCTATAACATACCATTGTGATGGAAGACAGAGGAGGTGGTGGTGACTCATGCAGCCCTGGCTAAGAGGCTTGGAACATCCACGTCTGCATAGGACACCAGACCTGAAACGAAATGTAATTTTGTGAATATTTTCATCATACTAATAGAGTTATCTTGAAGGCATGATATAAAATCAGGTTCTGAAACAAAAGTATGGAGGAAAACTTGAAGGGAAAGAGTTAATTTGACTGATTTGTTAATGCATATATCCCCAATGGGCCTATGCTGTTCACTTTTGACTGTTCTTAGCACTGACAAACTGGTGAGTTGCATTGCACTGTTACATTTGCAAGTTTCATGCCAGATTTTACTTCCATACAGTACAGTGTTTATATACCTGAACTGTCTGTGTACATTCTGAATCATTGTGAACTTTTATGAAAATGTTATGGAATAGCTCTCTATCTCTTATTTAACTTTATTGAAATGCAGGCACTACTTTGACAAATATATAGCTTTGATATATATTTTTGAAAATTAGGTCACTGTAAGCTCTAGTTGCAAGACATTCTTTATGGATATGATCATTTTATGATACGTACACAATCTAGGGTACCCAGTATTGCCTGGGGTTTATTTTTGAGAAAGAAAAGTTCACATAAGCATACCAAATTTCAGCTATTATCGTAAAATCTGTGACCACGCATAGGAAAGATACAGAAAAATAAATATTTTTAATGAAGGAGTCAATCTTTGGGAGTGGGAGGACTCCTCACCACTGAGTCCAAACCCCCCAAAATTTCCACCTTCACAATGCTTGTAGGGGGAGTTATGACACATGAAGTTATGTAGTGATTCCCAAAGGTTTATAAATATACCTGGTAGTGTGTTAAATATTTCTTGTAATTGAAGAAGTATAAATGTACTTAACAGGTTTGCTTAACCTAAACACAAAAATGCACAAATAATTTTGTCTGACTGTGAACCAGGAAAGCACTGGCATCCGTGTTAGGCTTCCTGTATGGCAAATGTGTACAGTGCAATTATTTTTGTTTCTGTTTTTCATAATTTTTAAGATTGTTTATTTGGTTTTTAATGACGTTTGGGTTGTATTAAGAATTTATTAATTCGTAAAGGGTTTTGTAAATCATTTGGTTGGGGAGATCCCCTCCTCCTCTCCCTTTTATGTAAGTGCTGGTGCTGGTGGGTGTTCCATGTTTGGCAGGTCAATAGAGGTTTTGATATCGAGGGAAATGCAATTGTGCTGTATGGCTCTCGGCAGTGTCCCCCCCCCCTCCCCCAGGGCCAACTCTCGACACTTGTGGGTTGCATGCACATCTCCTTTCCAAATTACAGCTCTCTATTTCAAAACAGTAGCTGCACATAACAGACACAGTGAAAAATGGGTCACGGTAATCTGCAAAATGTTTCATGCATTCAAGTCAAATAACTATATACATTACAGCATTATTCTAGTCATGTTCTGTAATAATCTGTTACTGAGACCTACATTCTAGATAAATAGTCCATAGGTTTAAGTCCATCTATGGTTCCTCGATACTGTAACACTTGACTCACCAAGTTGCATGTGACTGATCAGCTATTAACACTTTGTGATCTACATTAGAGAGCACATCGTGTCCCAGTTATTGTCAAAGCAGGTGAGCTTCTTGCCTTCAGAAAACTTTATCCCTAACCCATAGTACACTAAGAACAGTTCAGTACACTTTCTTTCAATCGTAAGATTTAACATTCCTGGTTTTATAGCTATCACGTGTCCCAAGCAACGTTTTCCTTTCCTTTCCTTTCTTTTGCTCAGTAAGGACATCCGGATTCCTTTCATTCTCCATAACTTCAGTCACTCTTCTGTTCATCCTCAGTAGATACATGTATATTTAAACACCTATGCCTTTTTTTTTGGGGGGTCCCTTTGTCAACCTTAAATAATTCTAGAGGGTGAGGTTTACTGGCCCCAGACAACAAGGACTGTCATGTGTGAGTGTGGTCGCCACATCTCGACATATTTTCGGCTTCTCTGTTACGCACATATGTTCCCTTGCTACGACCTTCATAGTCCAGTATTAGCACAGGTGGAAACCGGAATCTCCTGAGAAAATCTGTGATGTATAACACTTTTCTCACATCCGATCCGAGGATCGAACCGGGGAAGTAGTTGGGAGAGGCAGGCGCGTTAACGCAGTACACTACTAACAGTGGGGTATGCTATAACGAACGGATCCTACTACGAATATTCCTATAACGAACGGTTTTACCTATAAAATTGAGAATGCTATAACGAACGCAACTCCTACAACGAACGCGGATGAATACGGGACTATTTCGCCTGGCGCATGAATATTGTTGTACCGGGACCCACAACAAGAGCGTCAGGCGCCATCTTTGTCTCATTGTGTAGCCAGTGCACCACTGTTATTGTTGAAATTTCGTCTTTTGATGTGGAAATTCGCGTTATTTGTATAACTATTTTGTTATACTGTACAAGTATACAATTGTAACAATGAGTCGTCCAAAGCGAGTGAGAAAGCTAATAACCCTTGAAACTAAGAAAGAAATTATAAAGAAACGTGAGAATGGAAGAAGCATTGCGAAACTTAGTGATGAATATGGGATGGCTAAATCGACTATATGTACGATTTTGAAGAATAAAGAGGAGTTAAAAACTGTGCAAGTGGCTAAGGGAATCTTTAGACTTAGCAAAGCAAGGTGTAATGTGATTGAAGAGATGGAAAATTTACTCTTAGTGTGGATAAAGGAGAAAGAAATGGCAGGTGGTAACATTAGTGAAGCTATAATTTGTGAGAAGGCTAAACAATTGTTTGAGGACCTTAAAGCCAAGACTCCCAGTGGAAGTGATAGTGATGTGCCAGTGTTTAGGGGTACCTGCATGCTGAATAACACTAAGGTAAGATAAAGTACCGTATTTTTTACATTTTCCACAGAATTTTTTCAGTGTTAAGCGGTTGTATTTGGGGGCCTGGAACGGATTAATCCTATAACGAACGAGGTTCTGGAACCAATTACGTTCGTTATAGCATACCCCACTGTACCAAAATCTTTACTATTTTTACTGAACACTCAAATTTTATTATGATATACTCGAACACAACAATGTACACAAGCAGTGGAGACACAATATAAAAGACCAGGTAATATTATTCTTGTCCATTAGATAAAATTTCTGGCTGGTGTTGCTCGCACACCTTCCCACATTATAATAACGCGTAATTTACCCTGGGAGCCTATACGTTAGCTGACCACACCATCACCAGGTTGTTATCACCGTAACTGATCCAAAAATCGATCAGTATATTATCCAATGTAGAATGCAAACACTTTTTAAATTCCAGCAGGACATGATTTTAATTTTCATCATCCAGATTGGCATTTCCTGCTCCCGGCGCCAACGTTGATGATGCAACTGTCAATTGCCGCAAAAAATTATGTTTGCCATGTCAAATTGCTCACGAATTGAGACGATATCGAACCTTAATTGATTGGACTGGGGGCTTTGAGACGTCCCCGGATACGAAAAGAATGCTTACGGCAGATCAGCGTAAGGTTTATAACACCTTTGGGTTTATAGGGTACGTCAGAACTAAAAAGAACTTTATGGCACAGCTAAATATGGGTGAGAATCTTAATGTTTGCGCTTTTTCTTGGGATGCGATTAATTCACGTGCTCTAATTTCACTGGGTTTAAAATTCTAATGAAGCTATTTGCCAGCTGATCATAGCGAGTGGGAATATTTACCCTGCCCTGATTACCCAACAATGACGGGGGAATTAACTCAGGCAAAAATAGGTGGTCTCAATCCCACCTCGGCTACCGCTGCGGTGTTTGGTGGCTATGTTCACGCGCTTCCACATGTTTTAACAAGCCTAAATGTTGAAAATTTAGTTATAAGTTATAAGAAAATATACTCTGTAACATTACCCACGAAACCCATAATGATATTTTGGTTATCGTTTGGCTAACGTTAAAAAAAAAAAAAAAAATAATATATATATATATATATATATATATATATATATATATATATATATATATATGGTTTTGTAATTTCGAAAAAAAAAGAAACTTAACATATGGAGTTAAATGAGTTTTGTTTGTTTTTAATTTAAAGTCTGACTTTCGGAGTTTTGAGTTCTTGCCTCTAAACTTACACAGTAAGCCTTGTACAGTTAAGTTATGCCTGGACCTTGTGTGGCGGTTTTCAGTGTGATTGTGTTCCCGTATTAACTCTCCGACGTTATTGATATAATGTTAATTGTAAAAAAAAAAAAAACGAAATTGAACACAATATCATTATTTTGACACATTTATATTCTGTAGTAGAGTGTAGTGTGTCTATCCTCAAAGGGTTAAACCATAGTCCTCAATGGGTTAAACCATACTCCTCAATGGGTTAAACCATCGTCATCAAAAGAATTAAACCATCGCCCTCAAAGGGTTAACACAAAATCATCACTCAACTTAAGGGGAATTTAACGCGACGTAATGGGGATTTGGCCCGATTTTATGGAGGATTTGACGCAACTTCTGGAGGATTTAATGCGACCTTTGAAGGGTTTGACGCAACTTCTGGATGACCTCACATGATGTATGGCGGCCTGACGCTATTCTTAGAAAATCTGACAATGACGCGCGGAGGAACCGACAGTTTATGAGGGATCTGACTCGTCTTGAAGAGGGACACATACCTGTGGAGGTGACGAGGTGCTGGAGGGAGGCGAGGGCGGAGAGAAGATCATCATGACACACCCTGACGCCGGCGACCACCAGGCCACCCTGACGCTCCACCTCTACCACCACCTGCAACACAAACACACCCGCGATTGGTGTTTTAATTGGTGGATTCTGAGTCTCTGTCTGTCTCTCTGAATTGACAGTGATTTGTAGTGGAAGCATTAACAGTGGGTACTGACCTGAGCGCCGGAGAAGGTGCCATGCCAACCAGACAACTTTGGGCAGTCCGGGAGGTCCTTCAGGAACACTTGTGGGCAGAGTTCTTCCTCCCCCAGCTCAGGCTGCTCACCTACCTGCAAGTGGAAACATTTCCATGATAAGACGCAGGTATTCAGTTGCGTAATACGTTATACTTGTTTGCCTTGTTGATATCTAAATGACACCATTAATTTCTTATCCTTAATAATTGAATTGGTGTTGAATGACACCTGTGTAAGAAGATATCTGTTAAGCATGTTACATACAGTTATAATACATGTTTCTATACAAGTGTGCTTGAAGGGGTTGTAAGAATTACTTGACAAGATTTATATAACAAATATATTGAAGTATTCGTTTTGAGAAAGGTTGAGAACTAAGTTGGTGTATTGGTTGCTGTGATAAGGTGCAAGTTTACTTGCACGCACACACACACACACTCATTCATTCATTCTTTCATTCAAACAATCCTTTTCCCGCCACGGTTGATGGTGTCTTGGCAGGTGGTGATCTAATTCTTAACATGTAGTAGCTACTGTAATAGGTTACTCCACCTCCTTGATATTGTCCTCATTTATAACTGAGTGCACAATGTTACAAGTGAACCTGATTCTCCCTATGTGTAGTCATGTTCTTTTACCGATTTCACCCATATCACGGCTTCTATCACCGACACATTGTTATTCTAAGTTACAGCAATTTATATTTAAAAGCGTACAGTCCATAAACAGTGATGTAATTTATGGAGGTGTGAGTACCTGAGGCATGTCGCAGATCACCATGGACTCAGAGCACGACACGATGATGTCCTGCATGCTGAGTACATCTTGTTGCTCATTACTGTTACCCTCAGCATCACATGAGAGACCTATATCTGCCAACTTCTGACGCAGGTCTGCTCGTGCCAGGAACTTTCTGAAAACACTAAATTTTTGTTCTGGGGATTTTCGTTGACTTTCTTCGTGAGTGAGTCTGCAGATCTCTGTCTCGTCCTCGGCGTCGACAAGCACCCAGGAGGCTTCGTCGACTGGGCTGTTGGATCTCGGTCTCTCACCTTTCTCCTCGTCCTCGTCGACAACCTCGTCCCTGCCACCGTCTTTGGGTCGATGTTCGTCTTCGTTCTCTGCCGCCTCCTCACATTCTGGCTGTGTTGGTGTCGGAGAGGGGTTGTGGGAGGACCTCTTCTCATCATCGACGGCAGCTTCGGCTATCTCTTGGGCCAGTAGCTCCAGGTCCTGCGTCATCTCCAGGTGTGGCTCCGGACACACCGAAATTTCCAAGTTGCACGAGTCCTGTTCCTCATTGTGGTCTGCCATGTCTCTCTGTAACAGTTATAACAGTTATAGAGAAACAATAAGCATTAGTTGTATGAAAAATGTTTGACACACACCCACGTTAATTATTATTATTATTAGTAGTAGAAGAAGTAATTGTTACACACATACACACACACACACCTTGAGAGTGGTGAGTCAAGGAGAAGCAAATAATGTTTTTCTGTTATATTTTTTTACTCGTGTTGTTTTAAGAGTGTGTGGGGGAGGACGTGCCAGCCAGTGTCCTTGTGTAGGCTGGCTATTTGCTAAGTCTGCTTTACTTGAGTTTACAAAATATATTCTTAATATGTGGACACAGTCGACACAATGTTTCCCACAATACAATAAATCTTTCCTTTACACGAGCCTTTAAATTAAGTAAACAATGCATATATAATATCAATGGATGAGAGTATTACTATTAGTGATTATTGTACACACTTGTCTTGCCCTCCTCCCTTGTCTTACCCTCCTCCCTTGTCCTACCCTCCAACCTTGTCCTACCATCCAACCGTGTCTCACCCTTCACACTTGACCTATCCTACACACTTGACCTTCCCTCCACACCTCTCCTACATTCCACCCACCAGCCTACCTTCCGCCTATCACCACGCGTTCCGCCCACCGTCCCACCCTCCACCTTCTGTAGTATCATTTATCTACCACCCAACTTTCTACCCTTCGCCCTTCTCTCCACCCACCGTCTATCACCCATCTTTCTACCAATGTCCTTCCCTCCGCATATTGCTCCACGGTCCACCCATTGCCATACCCACTATCCACTCACTGACCCTCCACCTATCACCCTACCAACCATTCACCATCGTACCCTCCACCCACTGTGCAACCCTCCACCCACTTCTATATTCACCCTCCACTCCATTCTCCAACCAGGAGTCGTCGTCCTCTCCTGTCTCGCGGGAGTTTCTATGAATGGTTTGAATTTTGAGTGTTATACACATATAATGAGGCGCTCTTGTGCTTCCATGGTGGGCGGCGCCCTAGACAAGCACTCCCTTCCGCTCGTCTGCTCAGACGGGACAAAACTGGGGACGGTGGACTGTGGACCGGGATGACTGGCATCACACCGACATGCTGGCCGTGATCACGACTGTCCAGCGCTCTGCTATAGATGGCGTCTGTTGTCACGGCCTCACACCGGCTGTTTGCTTAATGAAATCACATGTATAAGGGCCCAGGCTTGTGCAAAAGCGAGGGGGCACTCGAGTCTGTGTGGAGGCGTCTTTCCCTCGACGCAGCTGCTCCGCCCGCCGTCAGCAACGGGTCTTAGCTCTTATGCCAGGGGTCGACAAGCGCCACGCACCTGCCTCGCGCCACGCGAAGATAAAGGAAATATGATGCTAAATTACGGTGCAGGCAGCGACGGGTGACTTTGGCGGCGAAGCGCAGGCGGAGGCAAGAGAGCGGCTAGAGTGACCGGCGGCCGGCAAGTGGGGGACAATCCTGCACTAGTTTACTTCACGAGTTTGCTTGGCAAGTTTACCTGCGAGTCTTGAGTACAATCCAGCACAATACCCTCGTCGCTTCTCGCTAATTGGCTGTCCGGAAGCCCCTCCGGCGGCCCACTGCTGCCACCCGCTGACGATAGCCCTGCCCTGCCCGCTACCTCTCTCACATGTTTGCACACCACATTTTTATAGCAACAGTTGATTCATATAAAAACTGAACACTATTCAAAACTTCAGAAACGAAACATTTTTTAAAAGAATTCTAAAATCACCCATAAAAGGAAGACGTTGGCAATTCTGCTAGACGGTAAAAATGGTCACATTGGATGATGTTTCCAAAGACGAAGGTTCATTTTATTGTTCTTACCATAAGCTCATCAAGTCTTAGAGACGCTTGAGGGTACATGGAAGGCGGATATGTTGAAGGAAGATGTTGGGAATTCTAAGAATTTGACAATAGGGGCGAGGTCTTCTGCTGTCTGAGCGTCTAACAAAGGTTAAGATAATCTTTAGAGAGCTTGGGTTTGCTTCAGTATACGTCCCGGTATGACTGTGTTTCGCCACTGTATTAAGGTATATCTAGGTGCCGGCCCATATGCCTTTATCCATGCTCGTTGTTATGTACACATCCTTGCGGGTCTGACGAGGATGCCGTTAGGATTATTCGAGGAACATAGACAGTGGGTCGAAGATATTAAAGTTGGAGTGAGATGGTTAATGTAGGTATCCTCGGTAACTATTGACCATGTTCTGATTTTTACACACACACACACACACAAGGCCTAACCTTAGTATTGCAGGGACGTGAAACCGACGTGTCTTAAAACTAACGGGACATAAAACCAAACAAGATATAAAACTAATGGGTCTCTGAATTAGTAGATCTTAACACTAACGGGCTTTCAGTCACTAAATAATGGTTTCAAGGGTAAACTGGGATCTGATGTACAGCTTCATATCTGCCTTGTAGGTAATTGAAGTTCGATAATTATCAGTATTTTTCGTAGGCATTTGTCTTAGTTCAGGTCCTTGGTACTGTTATGGTAGTTAGGCTGTGTCATTTAATATCAAGAATTACGTCACCTTATGTAATAATACACCGTAGTTCCTTCTGTTGCCTCTATTTATCTTTGGTTTTTTTCTTTCCCTTCTGATTCCCTCCCCCTCCCCCCTCCCCCCTCTCTGGTTCTGACGCCCTGGAGCACTGAGTCACGGGGGTGAGTCACTTGTACCGTGAAGGTCCTTTCCTGGGTCAGGTAATAAACGCACATGACATAATATATTATGTCGTGTGACTCAGGGTTGTCATGTCTCTGCCACCATTTTGTCATGCGTCAGAACGGAGGAGCTGCAGACAAAATTTTCGTGCCGTAAATATTAAGTTCCATCTCAAGTTTACTCTTTGTGACTGTAGTCATATGAAGTACCTTAGTGTATTGTAAAATATATTTCCAAAACTGGAAGTCGTGTTTTGAATTCATTAGTTTTGTTCAAGTGGTTCGTAATGTGGGATTCGGATTGTTAAATACTGTAAGTTATCTCCGTGATTGTTGTTGTGGGAAATAATTTCTCTTAAAAACTACGACACGTCAAAAGTGGCCAGGTAACGCGGAAGAAAGTAACGTACATACCTTACAGATTCCGGGTCAAGATCAGTTGAAATATGATAGAAGGGGAGGGACTAATTCCCATGCTATTTTGATATCGTCTTAAGAACTTGTTCAAGTTGTATCGAATATAATGGGTTGTTGTAGCGCTGTACACATTTCTGTGGTTACTCAGCATCTACCGGAACCTCTAGAGATGAAGTCACTGATCCAACGCACCACCAAGACATGCATACTTCACTTATTTAATGGACAGAGTTGTTGTACTTACGAAAATCATTCATTTTCTGACTCCACAAAAACTGCTGCTGTCATTAACATTCGGGAAAATCGATTCTTTTGTCATTTACACATTCAGCAGAGGTAGAAGGTCTGAGCAAGGACAGTGAGATCACTGCATTGTGCGGGAGACGGTGACCGCTGACTCACACCAACTTGCTCAAGGGTGGAAGGTTCTCTCCCTTGTGCTACACCCTTGTTATCACTCTTTTCTTGCCTTACCTCTCACACTTCACCAACACACACTTAAACTTTATGGATAACACACTTGTACGCTATTTTCTGTATAGCGATGTTGTCTGCCGTTCATTACGCAGATTTACAGGTGTAGAGAACGGCTGGTTAAATCTATTGAACGTTTATTGTTTGTTGGTGAGCCAGTTCAGGGATTAACAGTGAGCACGACACTACAGTATTTTGGGAGTGTCTGTGTGTATACGTAAGACGGTTACTGTGCACAGTATATCTAGGCCCAAACATCGGTATCATAACATTTTTAGCGTGTTAGGCAGTCCCTAAACCAGAGGACGTTTTGTGATAGTTATAACCTAAAAAAAAATCTTAAAATGAAGTTGTATGGAGATGTGAGCAAAGAGTATCAATGGGAAATGAATACCTGGAAAAAGCAGCATGTATATTCTGACAAAAAAGATACAGAAATATGGAGTGAATATACAAGTCATCCGCGAGAATGGCTTGATGGAGGAACTGACTGAGGGACGCGCATTGATAAACTGACGGCACTGATCTAGTTTTCCCTCAATGGTAGGTGTTGGTCTTGGTCATTCACGTATAAATGGCGACGTTGCTAAAGAAACTTATTTTTGAAAGTTAATTTTTTGCTTCTCGCAGCAGATCTGTATACGGAGTGGTTGAGAGGTTCAGAATTCTGGTTAGACGAGGTTAACGTGACAGGATGGACGTCGTGTGTGGTGGATCATGACGCTAGTGTACAAAAGTGTGCTGTGGGTCCACGGGCGGGAAGACAAGGCAGTTGAGGTGATTCTTGTCACAGTATACCTCACCTTCTTGGCGTGGTCATCTCCCCTTCCACTGTCTCCACACAACTTATTTTACTGTGACCCGAGAAGGCTTTTTTCCCCAGCGCGTTAGGTAATCCCAGCGTACTGTTATACAAAGGTGGTATGTGTCATATCACAGCGTATTGTTGTCAGGAGCAAATACCGTCAGATGATCTTGAGATTCTAGACCTTGATTGTATCCGAAACATTTAGTGTCATATTATTTATTACCAAAATTTTGATGTTGTCTAAAAGGTATCACGTAAGTCACAGACAGGTGTTGTATCACCAAGCGTAGTACAGTACTGGGGTCACAAAACATGATGCTGCGTCGCGGAATCCTCAGATTTGTATCAATACTAACAAATGGCAGCACCGTGTTAACGATGGCTTATACAGTACTTGATGCGCAAGGGACTCATACACATGTACGAGCTCTCGTCACTACCAGGCTGTACGCACATAGTTTATTCCCTCCTCATGTTGTACATTATTTTCATCGTCATTCATTTACGCTTATGTACTGGACCAGCAGATAATATCACCCCAGGCACTTCCCACATAACTTCATATTGACCCAGTGACAAAGCAGCATTACACATGAGTATACACAAACCTACCAGTGTCCCCGGCTGTCACTGATTTGGAAATTCCACGAGAAAAAAATGCTCACGGAAACATTATTTTTATTCAGATTAGATAATTCTTTACTTGTGCCGGATGTCACTGATAGATTTATCGTGGTTAATACGTTGACGCTGTTATCGTTAATGAATGATAATAGCTCCAGGTATAGAACCGAGTTTGAACAGACTACAGCAGAGCGATATCTAAAGTGACCTGAAACACTGGAATGGAGGTATTACTAGTGTGGCGGTCAATACTATCACGAGAGTAGATTATCCAGAGCATTAAACTAACTTGTTATTTCCACCTAAAGTCCCTCACTCACGGTTTGGCAATAGCAAGCTTCTTAATACAACTTGATTAGGATTTTGTAAAGAGCACGAAAAGTTAATTAACTTTTCATTTTTATCGTATAAGTGTAATTTGTATTTAAATTTTTTATCCCTCTTCATAATATCAAGGACATATCCTTGTTTGTCTGTCCGTCTGTCAGAAATCACGTTTCCGTTCAGTAATCAGCGAGCGTTATCAATGTTTTATATACAGGCGTTATAACCTTTGGCCTCCTGGGCAGTGTTGGCGGCCAAACATCACCTTTGATACTTTACATTTAATATAGAACATAGTTGGTATGAACATTTATTTGTATTTTATTAGTTTGTATGTACGATTTTCCACCACTTGTTTATCTTAATCTTCTCGTTCATTCTACTCTATCCTGTTTCTTCGCCATCCTCTCCATTTTTCCTTCCTATCCTCTTTTTACTTGTGTTTCATCATCCCGCTTTTACTGTATCCTCCTTCACCATATTAAAGAGAAAACAACGATAGAAACAGAGAGGTGGGGTGGCACTGGGTGGTCACCTGACACCACCTGTGTGTGTTTTAGGTACGTTGAGTAGGTAATGAGGTCACGGACCCCACAGCGTCACAGGTGAGAACGGAGAGCACCAGTGATCATACCTTGCGCTAGGAGAGACTAAGGCTTAATTTTTGTTATTGTTTACGTTTTTCTTGTGCTCCTCCTGGGAAATATAGTAAATACTGTTCGTCCTAAGGTGGACAAAATTATTCTCAGGGTACAGGTCATACAGTAATTCCTTTCAGAGGCTGACAAGTATAGCAGCGTCTTGGTGTACAGTGTGCGTGTATCTCTTAGAGCTCTGGCTACTGACAGCTTCAACCTTTTATTTTCAAACTTTTAGATAAACTTCCTAAGAATCATCGCTACACGTTTATTGTTTTTGGACGAGGTTGGTCAATGTTCAGACTCGAGCTGTTCTGCTACATGTGATGCCATTGTTATTAGTAAAACCTTAATTGCAATGTATACGAATTACATGAACATGGAAGAAAGACAAAATGTAATAAAAGTTTACCGTCAACGTAATCTGTAACCAGACCATACGTACAATTGATTTGTTTACTTTATTTAATTATTTCACTTATAATTAATCAATTTGTATTATATTTCAAGCTAGTATCGTATTCACTCTGAACATTTCTTAACCATAGAGGTGAGGGGCATTTGATATCGTTCTCTTAAAACTTCATTGTCTTCTCTTGATTTAGGTCAAGGTAAAGGTCACACACAGGTCAGAGGTCACTCGGTACGGCAACTTTAATATTTTTACCTGAACGAGTTATATTCCATGACGGTAAAAGTCAACTTATCCAACTTTACAGTATTTTCTTCAAACCTTCAACTGTAGGCTTTTTCCTCGAGGGGTTATTGCGTGTACGTCCGACCTTTCAGTGTATTTTAGGCTGCGTTAGTCGACCAATTATACACCTGCCTGACATGACTGATGAATGTTTTTCGCTTGAGGGACCTTTTATTTTTGTTCCTCAAGTGTTCCTAAACGTAGGCAACACTTACTTATTTGATGTAAGTGTGTAGGAGAGTGGCACTGGTGAGGGGCGTGGCCGTGTGTGTGTGTGTGTGTTGTTAACCTTGAAACACAGGAGAGATGGTTTGCCTCTTCGCACGACGCCTACGACCTTGAGTCTTGACTGACCAAGTAAATTCTTAAGGTAGAGTGAGTCATGCTCGTGTTGGTGGACCTACTCCTCCTTTACCTTCTACGCCTAACATGTGGTTTCGTGAGGCCCTTCTTTACCTTGAGTAGAAGCCTCGTCTTCGCCACAAAAAACCAACCGCTATAAAACCTGTTATGGAACTGTTTGCACTTTTCACTATAACAGGTAACATGAGCCTCATTTTCAATCTTGGTCACACAAGGCTTCAATGCTTTTGTGTATTGTGGTCTATCAATGACGCAATCGCACAGCTGGGCAGACCTTGCTTGACGTTGCCAATAGAGACTTGAGGTTTTTCTGTAAGATTTCTCCTTGTTCTGTGTTCGAACTCAAAGAACTAGGAAAAGGATACCTACGGAACATTTATACAGTGTGACTCAAAACTCAAAGCTCTTTATCTTGCACTTTAACGGTCGCGTAGACTAATCGCGGTAGAAAATATTGATCTACGCAGTTCGATACAAAACGAAAGACGACGAGCGACAGTGGCACGCACCAGGGTGTGGGTGTATTCGACCACTACACTCCAGTGTTGGCTTGGCGCATTTGACTTGTTGATAAATATACCGTTAGGAGTGAGTTATTTGGGTACAGTACAACCACACTACTGACAGTTGAATAAAACACATCTTTATTGCCTCTAAGCATAGAACACTACACTATACGTATAAGTAATACTAACACATGGATATATGAGCCGCTTCGTAAATATATTTGGCGTTTCTACTTTTTTGTACAGTATTTGTAATCACCTCAAAACGAAAACGGCAAAAAGTTTATTGTAATTAAACTGAAGGATTATTACACAAATAATCAATATTACCGAGAAGGGGCTAAAATGGTTATACAATCGTCAGCTCTATGGCGCTTTCATCTGCCAAGTAAGTATATTAATCAAGGATATAAATTCCCTGTAGTATAACCAAGAGAAGAAATATTTATAATTAGCTGTAATTACTCGAAAAGTGAGACACCGAGACACTCACAAAATTCAGTATTGAGTAATAACTTGGATGTATTTAGTTATGGACTCACGACTACCAGTAAGATGAATGTATACATGTATTAAGGTAGTAAATTATATTGGTGAGTGATGGGGAGACGGGGGAGGCCTGCCGTCCCAACAAAGACTGCAATGGAGACAGGTACGCACTTGTCCCTGAGCTGTGTACCACCTCCTTGGCATTTTAACTTGTTCGGTTTAGATTATCACAGCCTATTGTCCTACATTTGTAACTGATGTCGCGTTTACTCACAATTATTGACACTGTTGGGGGTTTCTTTGGCAATGGGTAGAGACGTTGTTTGATCAATATTATAAGGCACGATATGTAAAAACACTTACTCCATCCCTCTTGCAGGTCCGTTGTCTTGGTTATGTCTGACGTGTGACACAGATCTTATACACACATCACCACTAATACACACACGCAGTTAAACTAAGCACTCACCAAGTTGGGTAGATTATAGTCAGTGAGCTCCTTGATATGTACTGTTCGCGCGTGCACCACTAGTTTCGTTCGTCGCTGCAAATCGAAATGTGTGTGGAAAGGGTCACAACAATCACTTTCACTGTCGACTGGAGCATAAGAGCTTGTTGAGGTTTACTTCTAATGGTTACGCTCGGTAAGGGGCACCCTCACTGTAACGCTCCTTCAGGGGGTAACAACAGCTGATCTGCGGCCCTGTAAACAGCGTAGCCTCTGTATAGACAAAGCGATACTAATTTTTTGTTTTAAATATCATTATCGTGGACGTTGATTTTTAATTATGTACTCCTGACTAAACTTAACCCTCATTATTAAAACTTGTTAGTGTTGTGATGTCCGGCTGTGTGTTTATCTTATGACGAATATAATTGTCGTATTAATCTACGAACTGGCAACTCTTCGATCACAAACCAGCAGCAGCAACCATAGAAAAAAAGTAGGTTTTCCTGATATATTTATTTCCAGTTATGCTGCAAGGAGGAAAATTTCGAAACAGCAGACAAAAGAGTAATTATTGGAAGAAATTATATTTGTTGATTTGCTGTGAGCAGGTGTGTGTGTGTGTTGGGAGGGAGTCAGTCTCAGGTGTTTGTGGCAGGTAAACAACAACAACACAGTGAAAATAGAGTTGGGAGGCTGGGTCACTAGGTCATCCAGGTACACGCCTATGTAAATGTTATGACGTCACCTTCATTCTTGATTATCGTGACGTCACCTTCATTCTTAATTATAGTGACGTCACCGTCATACTTACCCCAATATTTTGACGTCATATTTATATTTACCTAAATAATATGATGTCAACCACCAAGCCTGTCTAAGTATTTTGATGTCTCCTTATGCTTATTTAAGTATCCTGATGTCACCTTCACTTTAACCTGTACACGATGTCACTTTCATCCTAACCAGCACATGACGTCGCCTTCAACCTAACCAACACAGACGTCACCTTCATCCTTAGCAGCACAGGATGTCACCTTCATCCTAACCTACACACGACGTCACCTTCATCCTAACCTACACACGATGTCACCTTCATCCTATCCTACACAGGATGTCACCTTCAAACTTAGCAGCACAGGATGTCACCTTCATCCTATCCTACACACGACGTCACCTTCATCCTATCCTACACACGATGTCACCTTCATTCTAACCTACACACGACGTCACCTTCATCCTAACCTACACACGATGTCACCTTCATCCTATCCTACACAGGATGTCACCTTCAAACTTAGCAGCACAGGATGTCACCTTCATCCTATCCTACACACGACGTCACCTTCATCCTATCCTACACACGATGTCACCTTCATTCTAACCTACACACGACGTCACCTTCATCCCACGTCACCTTCATCCTATCCTACACGACGTCACCTTCATCCTATCCTACACACGATGTCACCTTCATCCTATCCTACACACGACGTCACCTTCATCCTATCCTACACGACGTCACCTTCATCCTATCCTACACGATGTCATCTTCATACTAACCTACACACGACGTCACCTTCATCCTATCCTACACACGACGTCACCTTCATCTATCCTACACACGATGTCACCTTCCTATCCTACACACGATGTCACCTTCATCCTATCCTACACGACGTCACCTTCATCCTATCCTACACACGATGTCACCATTCTAACACCACGATGTCACCTTCATCCTATCCTACACACGACGTCACCTTCATCCTATCCTACACACGATGTCACCTTCATACTAACCTACACACGACGTCACCTTCATCCCATCCTACACACGATGTCACCTTCATCCTATCCTACACACGACGTCACCTTCATCCTATCCTACACACGACGTCACCTTCATCCTATCCTACACGCGATGTCACCTTCATTCTAACCTACACACGATGTCACCTTCATCCTATCCTACGCACGACGTCACCTTCATCCTATCCTACACACGATGTCACCTTCATACTAACCTACACACGACGTCACCTTCAAACTTAACGAAATATTCTCGTTCACGAATTACTGTTCAACGCCACAACCCATCGACCTCGCTCACTCGCATTGCTACAACAACAACCACCACCTCACTACAACCACTGTGAGGTCATCATTGTTGTAGGTATCGTCTTTATTTACTCTTCTTTTACCTTTTGTATTGAATTAACCACTCTTCCCCATTATTATTATTATTATTATTATTATTATTATTATTATTATTATTTGTTGTAGTAATAGTAGTATTGTTGTTGTTATTAATTATGTTAGCTTCACAATTAACTGCTATGACGTCATCTATTTCAATGTTATGGCGTCACTTATACTTGCTTATAACATTATGACGTCAGTTGAGTTGACCTTCATGGCATGTTAAGTACTATGAGACCTTTATTATTACATAAATATCAAGATGTTACCTTTAAATTTTGAATATTATTACGTGACCTTTATAGTGACTTTTATACTGTATATTATGGCGTCATCTTAGATATTATTGTTACCATCATCTCCTAAAACATTGTGATTAATGTTCGTTTGAATATTTTTAATGGAGGAAAATTGCCCAAATGGGGTGTTTTATGAGGTAGGAATATTGGGAACTTTTTACAAGGGGATGGTTTAGGATTTAATGAATGGAAGGGAATCGGATCTTGTAGGAACGTTTTCTTTTATTGAACGTTGACGTGAATTACCGTGAAGGAACGTTTGTGTGAGTAAAAAAAAGTATTAATAAACGTTTTCAGTGTTATTGAGATGAGAAAATTATCCCTCGTGAATGTTTTCTGAAGAGGAGTATATTTAAAGAACGTTTTTTTAAACTATTAAATTAAAATAAAATTATCTCCAGAATATATAAGTCATAGTGAAGCCACAACACGTAACTCCTGGACTTCACTTAGTTAGCAGGACTTAGCCTCGGCGGTGGTAGTTTGTCCAGCGCGGTAACTCACCCACCCCCACGATATAAGCCATAAAAGTGGCCTTCTTCACCTAATCTCTTTATCCGGGAAGGAGTCCGTGTAATAATGTGGAGCTGGTGGTGCCTGGGAGACCCAGGTCACCACCCTCCCCCCACCTGACACTTGCATTACATTTAATATTATGAATGCCTGTGTTTATGTATACATGCATATATGTTTAATTTAACCATTCGAGACTACCATAACCATCCGAGCAGATTTAATTATTCAAGACTGAACCATCCGAGCCTTAAGTTAACCATCCGAAGCTTTAACTTGAATATTACCGATTTTAACAGCACCCAGTTCCTGCCTAAACCCTACTGAATTTAGCGATGGTTTGTTTTAATTCGCTACAGTTTACGAGGGTTGTGTAGGCAGAGTCTTAGGCTGACGGGAGAAGATGTGTATGTGATGAGACTAATCGTTCTGTTTTTGTAACTTTATCTGTAGTTACTTAATAATCATAGGTGCGTTGACGCTTATTTTGATGTTAGTGAAAGTTAAATCACGTAAACAAATAACATAAATGGTGAAAAGAGTGGAGTGTGGTGCTGGGTGTGATTTATGGGTTACGTGAACACAAGGTAATACAGGCGCGTCACTGAGGCAGGAGAACGCTTGTCATGAACTGAAAACTGATTTTTTTTTCACCATTAAAGTGAACCTTGAGATACAGAAACGAGGTTAAGTGATTATAGGCTAATTTCGGGAGAAGTTTAGATCGATATTTTTGTTGTATATTTGTAGGTTATCTTCTAAGGCCTTGGCTCACCCGTCCCATCCTAGGTCAAGGACACGTGGCTATCGGCCCTTTCTTCTTGTACTCGGTCGCTAGAAGGACATTCCAGTGAGCAAATCCCAATAAGGTGTTTAATTTATGCGTTGGTGTCATCTGTGTCATCTGTGTCATAAGGAGAAAGTGCTTTAGGTTATGGCTAGTGAAAGGTACTTTGATGTCCTGGGTTCTGTTGGCCACAAAGCTGAAGGACACTGCAGGGAAGGTGATGTGGGGAGTACAGTACCATAACAGCCCGTCTATTGCAGCAGTAGGAACGATGGAAAGGATTTGTGTGTATGTGTACTTAATATTTTTTCCAGCATATATAGGTAGATAGGATAGGTAGATAGAAGGTCAACTGGGTGATAATAGGTCATGTACTCGTATACACTTCAATGAGAGAAAGCAGTCGTGGTATACAGTACTCTTCTCAGGCTGGGTTATCACGCCTGGCTCCTGTGCTTGAGGCGTCAGGCAGCCTTGTGTGATAATCTGTTGAGTTAAAACACTGCTTGAAGGCTGGTGTTTATGGCACGACACTGAGAAACCTGGAAACGTGTCCCATCCCCTCTCACAATGCCAGTTGATAATTGTTTAATTAATAGGCTTGTGATATAACGACGTGTTAATGAGACTAATTATATTTCTTTACTCTGTAGGCCGTGATATTAAGAAACTCGAGAGAATGAACCATGATTACGTGTATTTATATGTTTTTGGTGTGAATTTGGCTCATAAAGCACATATGCTTATACTTAAAAAACAGTATTCTTAAGTAAATTCACAAATAGTCTTCCCTTCAGGTGCGTACAGTCATGCTATAAACGTATATACCATGACTTAACACCCTCGTATAAACATGTACCGTAGCGTCTGTTATGTGAGGGTTCGCTTGTGAGTCGGATATAATTACAGTCTATCAGAGATTTACTCCCTTGAGCCATTCTACGGAGTACAATAATATCATTTAAGTATATGACCTACATACACACGTGATATCCTTCACACACACACACGCACACACCTCATGACTTTCATGTACAGTGTAGTCGTAAATACAATGCCCACACGTACTGTACATATATATTTAATTATTCTCGATTTACATTCACTGTACAGTTTTCTTTGTCCAAACAGGCACAAAGACCTTTCACACTATAACATAAATATATTTGAGCTTTCCGCATAATCTGTACAACTACATAGACACATAACACCAACGCAAATAAACACATTGTGACCTTGGCATACACTCGGCAACACCCACTCACTCACATATACACTTATCAAATAACTCTTTCTACAAACATATAAATACTCTCTTTGTTTACTTACACACTAGAACACTCATAACAAC